GATGAAGGGAGAGAGGAGAGAGAGAGAGAGAGGGAGAGAGAGAGAGAGATAAGAGAGAGAGAGAGAGAGAGAGAGACACCTCACAAAATCCTTGAGATATACGAAGAGCAATAAGTGTTCCAGCGGTTGAGTGTTGGTTCAAGTTCAAGTTCAAGTATGTTTATGAGATAAGCAATAAATACATCTCAAAGGGATAGAGTAGCTTAGGCTATTTTACCCCTCTGTGTTGGTTCTGAAAATCAATGTCGTCTAAGACTAGCGAGGTCTGCGGATGGCGGTGTGGTCACCCAAGCTGACGAGACGCCACTACACGCACTCCTCAAGCTGGAACTACCATAGTTCCCGATGATCAGGTACCTTCTGCAAGTGTTCACCTTCTTCCCTCTTGAACGTTGACGTAAAATGAGATCGTGCGGTTGGTACAAGACTCACCATTTCTGCGAAGAGCGTCTGGAGGTGGAGTCAGCAGGAGGAAGGGAGTGAGTGCGGTGTGGCCTGCTTACTCAGGGTCTTATATATGAACAAGACCTGCCTAACGCTTCGCAAATCTTGCTTTTTTGTTTAAACAGGGATAAGACTCACAAAAAGATAGGAGGGGCTGAGTACAGACCGGATTCCCGCGCGCTGGCGGAATAGTCAAGCGCTGGAAACTGTTTTCGTCGCTTTTGTCTTCTGATTCTCAGTGTGTGTTGTGGTGGTTGTGGGGGTCTGGTGGTGGTTGTGGTGGTCGGTTGTTGGTTGTGGTGGTGTGGTTGGTGGTTGTGGTGGTGTGGTTGGTGGTTGTGGTGGTCCGGTTTGGTGGTTGTGGTGGTGTGGTAGTTGGTGGTTGTGGTGGTGCGGTTGTTGGTTGTGGTGGTCGGTTGGTGGTTGTGGGTGGTCGGTTGGTGGTTGTGGTGGTTCGGTTGGTGGTTGTGGTGGTGTGGTTGGTGGTTGTGGTGGTGGTTCGGTTGGTGGTTGTGGTGGTCCGGTTGGTGGTTGTGGTGGTACGGTTGTTGGTTGTGGTGGTGTGGTTGTGGTTGTGGTGGTCATGGTTGGTGGGTTGTGGTGGTGTCTGGTTGTGGTTGTGGTGGTCCGGTTGTTGGTTGTGGTGGTGTGGTTGGTGGTTGTGGTGGTCCGGTTGGTGGTTGTGGTGGTACGGTTGGTGGTTGTGGTGGTCCGGTTGGTGGTTGTGGTGGTGCGGTGGTGGTTGTGGTGGTGCGGTTGGTGGTGTGGTGGTCCGGTTGGTGGTTGTGGTGGTCCGGTGGTGGTTGTGGTGGTCCGGTTGGTGGTTGTGGTGGTGCGGTTGGTGGTTGTGGTGGTGCGGTTGGTGGTTGTGGTGGTGTGGTTGTTGGTTGTGGTGGTACGGTGGGGTTGGGTGGTGTGGTTGGTGGTTGTGGTGGTGTGGTTGGTGGTTGTGGTGGTGCGGTTGGTGGTTGTGGTGGTGGGTTGTTGGTTGTGGTGGGTGCGGTTGGTGGTTGTGGTGGTCCGGTTGTTGGTTGTGGTGGTGCGGTTGTTGGTTGTGGTGGTGCGGTTGGTGGTTGTGGTGGTGCGGTTGGTGGTTGTGGTGGTGTGGTTGGTGGTTGTTGTGGTGGTGGTGGTTGGTTGGTGGTTGTGGTGGTGCGGTGTTGGTTGTGGTGGTCCGGTTGTTGGTTGTGGTGGTGCGGTTGGTGGTTGTGGTGGTGTGGTGGTGGTTGTGGTGGTGTGGTTGGTGGTTGTGGTGGTCCGGTTGTTGGTTGTGGTGGTGTGGTTGGTGGTTGTGGTGGTGCGGTTGGTGGTTGTGGTGGTGCGGTTGGTGGTTGTGGTGGTGTGGTTGGTGGTTGTGGTGGTCCGGTTGGTGGTTGTGGTGGTCCGGTTGGTGGTTGTGGTGGTGTGGTTGGTGGTTGTGGTGGTCCGTGGTGTTGTTGGGTTGTGGTGGTGCGGTTGGTGGTTGTGGTGGTCCGGTTAGTGGTTGTGGTGGTCCGGTTGGTGGTTGTGGTGGTCCGGTTGGTGGTTGTGGTGGTGCGGTTGGTGGTTGTGGTGGTGTGGTTGGTGGTTGTGGTGGTGCGGTTGGTGGTTGTGGTGGTGTGGTTGGTGGTTGTGGTGGTGTGGTTGGTGGTTGTGGTGGTGCGGTTGGTGGTTGTGGTGGTGCGGTTGGTGGTTGTGGTGGTCCGGTTGGTGGTTGTGGTGGTGTGGTTGGTGGTTGTGGTGGTGCGGTTGGTGGTTGTGGTGGTGCGGTTGGTGGTTGTGGTGGTGCGGTTGGTGGTTGTGGTGGTGCGGTTGGTGGTTGTGGTGGTGCGGTTGGTGGTTGTGGTGGTGTGGTTGGTGGTTGTGGTGGTGCGGTTGGTGGTTGTGGTGGTGCGGTTGGTGGTTGTGGTGGTGTGGTTGGTGGTTGTGGTGGTCCGGTTAGTGGTTGTGGTGGTCCGGTTGGTGGTTGTGGTGGTCCGGTTGGTGGTTGTGGTGGTCCCGGTTGGTGGTTGTGGTGGTGCGGTTAGTGGTTGTGGTGGTGCGGTTGGTGGTTGTGGTGGTCCGGTTGGTGGTTGTGGTGGTCCGGTTGGTGGTTGTGGTGGTGTGCGGTTAGTGGTTGTGGTGGTCCGGTAGTGGTTGTGGTGGTGCGGTTGGTGGTTGTGGTGGTCCGGTTAGTGGTTGTGGTGGTCCGGTTGGTGGTTGTGGTGGTCCGGTTAGTGGTTGTGGTGGTGTTGTGGACCACAGAATCTCACTTTTTTCAACAATTGGGAAGTTTTGCTTCTATTCCCCCTCCCTCCCTCTCCTCTCCTCTCTCCCCCTCCTTCTCCCGTACGCCCCTGGCACTCTCCCGCCTGTCATATTTCCAACCCCTCAAAAAACCGGTCACCCTCCCCAATAACCTCCCCCTCTCCCAACTCCTCCTCCAAACCTCATCCTGTTGCTCCTCTCCCTCCCCCACCCCACTCCCCCTCCCCCCCCCCCAATATTAACCCTCTTCATTTTCAAATCGAGGACAAAAACGACACAGGATAACGACAGGATTTTTTTTTTTTGTAAATATACTTAATGAGTTATGTCATGGCGTGGTCTCTGGGCCAAGGTCAGCCGGGTGTGAGCACACTTACTGCAAGTTTAGTTCTCACTCAAGATGTCTGGGTGGCTGTGTTTAGTGGTGATGGATGGCTTACTCGTGATGGATGTCCCCATGATAAATACCCCGATGATGGATGCCCCATGATGGATGCCCCAATGATGGATGCCCCCATGATAAATACCCCGATGATGGATGTCCCCATGATGGATGCCCCAATGATGGATGCCCCCATGATAAATACCCCCATGATGGATGCCCCCATGATGGATTGCCCCAATGATGGATGCCCCATGATAAATACCCCATGATGGATGCCCCTATGATGGATGCCCCAATGATGGATACCACCATGATAAATATCCCCCATGATGGATGCCCCCATGATAAATACCCCCATGATGGATGTCCCCATGATGGATACCCACCATGATGGATGCCCCAATGATGGATGCCCCCATGATGGATGCCCCCATGATGGATGCCCCCATGATAGATGCCCCAATGATGGATACCACCATGATGGATGCCCCCATGATGGATACCCACCATGATGGATGCCCCATGATGGATGCCCCCATGATGGATACCCACCATGATGGATGCCCCATGATGGATGCTACCATGATGGATGCCCCCATGATGGATACCCACCATGATGGATGCCCCTATGATGGATGCCACCATGATGGATACCACCATGATGGATGCCACCATGATGGATGCCCCCATGATGGATGCCCACCATGATGGATGCCCAACATGATGGATGCAACCATGATGGATGCCACCATGAAGGATGCCACCATGAAGGATGCCACCATGATGGATGTCATTATGATGGATACCGCATGATGGATACCCAACATGATGGAAGACCCCATGATGGATACCTATATGATGGATGTCACCATGATGGATGCCACCATGATGGATGTCACCATGATGGATGCCACCATGATGGATGCCACCATGATGGATGCCACCATGATGGATGCCACCATGATTGATACCCCCATGATTTACCAATATCATGCTTTACCTATTGTTTACCTATTGTCACTAGATATAGCGGTGATCTTCTAAATTGGTCGCCAAGACTCGTGATGAATGCAGAATTGGATGACGGCTGCCAGGGTCCGGTCCGTTAACACGGCCCTTTGACAGGGTGTGTAGGGGCTGACGTAGCCTGGTCCAAGGGCCTTGTTGACACCTGTGTCGAAGAGGAAGTTCTCCTTTGTTCTGGGGTGTCATGTGCTGGGAAGATGAGGTGGAACTGGTGAAGGGGGAAGGTTTCTCACGAAGAACTCGGTCTGGCTCACCATCCTGTATCTTGTTTACGAAGTGAGGCAAGGTGTAAAGCTGGTGCGTGGAGGAGCAGTGTGGCTCGCCTCTGACACTGTCTCAGGCAGTGTGGGCCCCCCTGACACTGTCTCAGGCAGTGTGGGCCCCCCTGACACTGTCTCAGGCAGTGTGGGCCCCCCTGACACTGTCTCAGGCAGTGTGGCTCGCCCCTGACACTGTCTCAGGCAGTGTGGCTCGCCCCTGACACTGTCTCAGGCAGTGTGGCTCGCCCCTGACACTGTCTCAGGCAGTGTGGCTCGCCCCTGACACTGTCTCAGGCAGTGTGGCTCGCCCCTGACACTGTCTCAGGCAGTGTGGCTCGCCTCTGACACTGTCTCAGGCAGTGTGGCTCGCCCCTGACACTGTCTCAGGCAGTGTGGCTCGCCCCTGACACTGTCTCAGGCAGTGTGGCTCGCCCCTGACACTGTCTCAGGCAGTGTTACCTCCAGACACTGTCTCAGGCAGTGTGGCTCGCCCTGACACTGTCTCAGGCAGTGTGGCTCGCCCCTGACACTGTCTCAGGCAGTGTGGCTCGCCCCTGACACTGTCTCAGGCAGTGTGGCTCGCCCCTGACACTGTCTCAGGCAGTGTGACCCCTGACACTCCCTCAGTCAGTATGACCCCCCCTGACACTCCCTCAGTCAGTGTGACCCCCCTGACACTCCCTCAGTCATTGAAACCACGACACTGTCACACACCTGCCTGGCAGCACCAGGTGTGTCAGGGAGCTGGGTGTGGCTTCCCCCACACTAGGGCATAACCTTGGCCAGAGCCGGGAACCTTGACTACCACAAACCTGTTTTTCCAGGCTTCCTCCAAGGTGACCACCGGCTGCAACCATGCAAAGGATTTCATCTATTTTCGAGTTGCTGCAATCTGCTGTTGCTACTGTTTTATATATATATATATATATATATATATATATAGATATATATATATATATATATATATATATATATATATATATATATATATATATATATATATATATATATATGACAGTGTCAGACCACGGAGGAAGAATTGAAAACTGGAATTTCCTTAAGTACTTTCGTATATTAATACATCTTCAGAAGGAATCCTGAAGATGTATTAATATGCGAATGTACTTAAGGAAATTCCTGTTTCAATTCTTCCTCCGTGGTCTGACACTGTCACATTTTTCATCACGTGTTAATTTTCGTGATTCACACACACACACACACACACACACACACACACACACACACCACCTACAAGAATAGATGGCAAGCACGACACCGTACCCCTAGCCTCTCAGGTAGCCTCACCTCCCAGGTCACCTCCCAGGTCACCTCCAGGCCACCTCCCAGGTCCACCTCCCAGGTCACCTCCCAGGCCACCTCTCAGGCCACCTCCCAGGTCACATCCTCCCCAACTCAACCCTCCTATACCTCCTTCTGCCCTATCCCCTCAAAACCCCCCTGCCCCTGCCACATTTGCACTTCCCAACAACTCCCCTGCCCCTGCTACATCACACCTGTCAACGACCCCAGTGGGTCAAGCCATCCCTTCCCCAAACCCACCTTCCCATCCCCCCTCCCCTATTACCCCTCTTACTCCCCTGCCCCTTCTACCCCATTGCCTTCACTTCCATCTGCTCCATCCCAGCTTCCACTGCACCCCTCTTACACTCACCCCCCAAACCCCACCCAACCTTCACCCCTCCTATGCACCTCCAGCCCACATTTAACCCCTCACCTGTGACCCCCTAACACCTTCCCCCATCTCCTCTTCCCCCTCTTCTACCCCAAAACCCCCACCTACCCCCGATTCCCTCATGTGATTCCTAGGAATCACATGAGACAAGCCCATGACATTACTCTAACAAGAGAAATGTTGAACAAGAATACTTGCATAATAGACAAAACCCAAGATTCAAGAAGATTACAAATTCTTGAGGCAATTCACATAAGAATAGAGCGACCTACCATGAACACCCAAATCACGGAACTATTTACTCTACCCACCATGAGAGTAAGGACAAGACAAGAACATATCGATGCCAACACAGAAGACAATGTCCAACATAACAGGCCAATTACACTGGATTAATCTTTGATAGGAGATGCCTCGTATGGGCAATAAGCCTTCTGCAGCCCCTATGTTTATCCCTTATGTATCCCCCCATGTTTTCACCTTCATTGTATTATCACCTGACCTAATGCGGGTATAAAATCAACTAGTATTGTAAGATCTGTTCACTTGAGAATGAGCCATGGAGGTTCGAAACGTCGTGCAAATTATACAAATAAGTGCAATACACTCTATAGTAAATCACTTCTTTCTTCACCTTAAAAGTACGAAAATGAGTTTTGGAGAACTCCTATTTCAATTAAGCCCTGATGCTAAGAAAATAGTTAGAGGGATAGAAGCCCTAAACCAGAAAATAATAAATACAGAATATGCGGTCATATTCAATGAAACATGTTTGAAAGAAAACCTGCTGCCAGTATACACCAATATATATATATATATATATATATATATATATATATATATATATATATATATATATATATATATATATATATATATATATATATATATATATATATATATTATTAAATATGACCGAAAAAGTAAGATTAATAATTCTAACACGAATTTTCTCGATCTTTCGTACGTTTCTTTTCACTGTTGGTGGTAATTCAAAATCAATTCTCCAAAATTCATTTTTATTTCTAGTCTGACGCCACACTTGAGCGCGTTTCGTAAAACTTATTACATTTTCAAAGACTTAGTTTACGCATACACAACTGAATAGAACTTACACATCTTCGATTTGTTTATATCTACATTTGAGTGAGGTGGATGGGGTGTGGTGGTATTAATAGGGTATTAAATTCCTAAACACAAGACAGAACACGAAACAATGGGTATTGAATGGAAGTGATTGTAGAAACCCTATTGGTCCATATTTCTTGATGCTTCTATATTGGAGCGGAGTCTTGAGGTGGGTAGAATATAGTTGTGCATTAATTGGCTGTTGATTGCTGGTGTTGACTTCTTGAAGTGTAGTGCCTCGCAGACGTCAAGCCACCTGCTATCGCTGTATCTATCGATGATTTCTGTGACGTTTACTAGGATTTCTCTGGCGATGGTTTGGTTGTGGGAAGAGATTATATGTTCCTTAATGGAGCCCTGTTGCTTATGCATCGTTAAACGCCTAGAAAGAGATGTTGTTGTCTTGCCTATATATTGGGTTTTTTGGAGCTTACAGTCCCCAAGAGGGCATTTGAAGGCATAGACGACGTTGGTCTCTTTTAAAGCGTTCTGCTTTGTGTCTGGAGAGTTTCTCATGAGAAGGCTGGCCGTTTTTCTGGTTTATAGTAAATCGTCAGTTGTATCCTCTGATTTTTGTCTGTAGGGATAACGTTTCTATTAACAATATCTTCAGGACCCTTTCCTCCGTTTTATGAGCTGTGGAAAAGAAGTTCCTGTAAAATAGTCTAATAGGGGGTATAGGTGTTGTGTTAGTTGTCTTTTCAGAGGTTGCATGGCGTTTCACTCTCCTTCTTATGATGTCTTCGACGAAACCATTGGAGAAGCCGTTGTTGACAAGGACCTGCATTATCCTACAGAGTTCTTCGTCGACTTGCTTCCATTCTGAGCTGTGGTGAGAGCACTGTCGACATAAGCGTTAACAACACTCCTCTTGTACCTGTCTGGGCAGTCGCTGTTGGCATTTAGGCACATTCCTATGTTCGTTTCCTTAGTGTAGACTGCAGTGTGGAAACCTCCGCTCTTTTCCATGACTGTTACATCTAGAAAGGGCAGCTTCCCATCCTTTTCCATCTCGTAAGTGAAACGCAGCACGGAACTCTGCTCAAATGCCTCCTTCAGCTCCTCAAAACTGCTGGGAGCTGAAGCTGAAGGAGGCATTTGAGCAGAGTTCCGTGCTGCGTTTCACTTACGAGATGGAAAAGGATGGGAAGCTGCCCTTTCTAGATGTAACAGTCATGGAAAAGAGCGGAGGTTGATTTGATAAAATGGGCATAGCATTTATCAAATCACCTCATTCTTTGGGGCACACGTGAGGAACACAAATGCGAACAAGCCTGAATGGTTCGAACGGGAGCTACGAGGCCTCGCTACCAAGAGGCGGGAACTACAAGGCCTCGCTAGCAAGGAGCAAGAGCTACGAGGCCTCGTTTTTTTTTTTTGTAAATATTACTTAATGAGTTATGTCATGGCGTGGTCTCTGGGCCAAGGTCAGCCCGGGTGTGAGCACACTTACTGCAAGTTTAGTTCTCACTCAAGATGTCTGGGTGGCTGTGTTTAGTGGTGATGGATGGCTTACTCGTGATGGATGTCCCCATGATGGATGCCACCATGATGGATGCTCCCATGATGGATACCACCATGATGGGTGCCCCCATGATGGATGCTCCCATGATGGATGCCCCCATGATGGATGCTCCCATGATGGATACCACCATGATGGGTGCCCCCATGATGGATGCTCCCATGATGGATGCCCCCATGATGGATACCACCATGATGGATGATCCATGATGGATGCCCCCATGATGTATACCACCTTGATGGATGCCCACCATGATGGATGCCACCATGATGGGTGCCCCAATGATGGATGCCCCCATGATAAATACCCCGATGATGGATGTCCCCATGATGGATGCCCCAATGATGGATGCCCCCATGATAAATACCCCCATGATGGATGTCCCCATGATGGATGCCCCAATGATGGATGCCCCCATGATAAATACCCCATGATGGATGTCCCCATGACGGATGCCCCTATGATGGATGCCCCAATGATGGATGCCCCCATGATAAATATCCCCATGATGGATGCCCCCATGATAAATACCCCCATGATGGATGTCCCCATGATGGATGCCCCCATGATGGATGCCCCCATGATGGATACCCACCATGATGGATGCCCCCATGATGGATGCCACCATGATGGATGCCCCCATGATGGATACCCACCATGATGGATGCCCCCATGATGGATGCCACCATGATGGATACCACCATGATGGATGCCACCATGATGGATGCCCCCATGATGGATGCTCCCATGATGGATGCCACCATGATGGATGCCCCCATGATGGATGCCCACCATGATGGATGCCCAACATGATGGATGCAACCATGATGGATGCCACCATGAAGGATGCCACCATGATGGATGTCATTATGATGGATACCGCATGATAGATACCCCCATGATGGATGCCCCCATATGGATACCCAACATGATGGATGACCCCATGATGGATACCTATATGATGGATGTCACCATGATGGATGCCACCATGATGGATGCCACCATGATGGATGCCACCATGATTGATACCCCCATGATTTACCAATATCATGCTTTACCTATTGTTTACCTATTGTCACTAGATATAGCGGTGATCTTCTAAATTGGTCGCCAAGGCTCGTGATGAATGCAGAATTGGATGACGGCTGCCAGGGTCCGGTCCGTCAACACGGCCCCTTTGACAGGGTGTGTAGGGGCTGACGTTGCCTGGTCCAAGGGCCTTGTTGACACCTGTGTCGAGGAGGAAGTTCTCCTTTGTTCTGGGGTGTCATGTGAAGGGAAGATGAGGTGGAACTGGTGAAGGGAGGAAGGTTTCTCACGAAGAACTCGGTCTGGCTCACCATCCTGTATCTCGTTTAGGAAGTGAGGCAAGGTGGCCAGCCTTCTCCATAGGTACTGGTGAATGGAGGTGCAGTGTGGCTCGCCTCTGACACTGTCTCAGGCAGTGTGGCTCGCCCCTGACACTGTCTCTGGCAGTGTGACCCAACACTGTCTCAGTGAGTCTGACCCCTGACACTGTCTCAGGCAGTGTGACCCCTGACACTCCCTCAGTCAGTGTGACCCCTGACACTTCCTCAGTCAGTGTGACCCCTGACACTCCCTCAGTCAGTGTGACCCCCTGACACTCCCTCAGTCAGTGTGACCCCTGACACGCCCTCAGTCAGTGTGACCCCTGACACTCCCTCAGTCAGTGTGACCCCGACACTTCCTCAGTCAGTGTGACCCCTGACACTCCCTCAGACAGTATGACCCCTGACACTCCCTCAGTCAGTGTGACCCCTGACACTCCCTCAGTCAGTGTGACCCCCTGACACTGTCTCAGGCAGTGTGACCCCTGACACTCCCTCAGTCAGTGTGACCCCTGACACTACCTCAGTCAGTGCGACCCCCTGACACTGTCTCAGGCAGTGTGACCCCCGACACTCCCTCAGTGTGACCCCTGACACTGTTTCAGTCAGTGTGACCCTTGACACTCCCTCAGTCAGTGTGACCCCTGACACTCCCTCAGTCAGAGTGACCCCTGGCACTCCCTCAGTCAGTGTGACCCCCGACACTCCCTCAGTCAGTGTGACCCCCTGACACTCCCTCAGTGTGACCCCTGACACTCCCTCAGTCAGTGTGACCCCCTGACACTCCCTCAGTGTGACCCCTGACACTGTCTCAGTCAGTGTGACCCCTGACACTCCCTCAGTCAGTGTGACCCCTGACTCTCCCTCAGTCAGTGTGACCCCCTGACACTCCCTCAGTCAGTGTGACCCACTGACACTCCCTCAGTCAGTGTGACCCACTGACACTCCTTCAGTGAGTGTAACCCCTGACACTCCCTCAGTCAGTGTGACCCACTGACACTCCCTCAGTCAGTGTGACCCCTGACACTCCCTCAGTCAGTGTGACCCCCTGACACTCCCTCAGTCAGTATGGCCCCCCTGACACTCCCTCAGTCAGTGTGACCCCTGACACTCCCTCAGTCAGTATGACCCCCCCTGACACTCCCTCAGTCAGTGTGACCCCCCCTGACACTCCCTCAGTCAGTGTGACCCCTGACACTCCCTCAGTCAGTATGACCCCCCTGACACTCCCTCAGTCAGTGTGACCCCCCTGACACTCACTCAGTCAGTGTGACCCCCTGACACTCCCTCAGTCAGTATGACCCCCCCTGACACTCCCTCAGTCAGTGTGACCCCCTGACACTCCCTCAGTCAGTGTGACCCCCTGACACTCCCTCAGTCAGTATGACCCCCCCTGACACTCCCTCAGTCAGTGTGGCCCCCCTGACACTCCCTCAGTCAGTATGACCCCCCCTGACACCCCCTCAGTCAGTGTGACCCCCTGACACTCCCTCAGTCAGTATGACCCCCCCCCCTGACACTCCCTCAGTCAGTGTGACCCCCTTGACACTCCCTCAGTCATTGAAACCACGACACTGTCACACACCTGCCTGGCAGCACCAGGTGTGTCAGGGAGCTGGGTGTGGCTTCCCCCACACTAGGGCATAACCTTGGCCAGAGTCGGGAACCTTGACTACCACAAACCTGTTTTTCCAGGCTTCCTCCAAGGTGACCACCGGCTGCAACCATGCAAAGGATTTCATCTATTTTCGAGTTGCTGCAATCTGCTGTTGCTACTGTTATATATATATATATATATATATATATATATATATATATATATATATATATATATATATATATATATATATATATATATATATATATATATATATATATATGACAGTGTCAGACCACGGAGGAAGAATTGAAAACTGGAATTTCCTTAAGTACTTTCGTATATTAATACATCTTCAGAAGGAATCCTGAAGATGTATTAATATACGAATGTACTTAAGGAAATTCCTGTTTCAATTCTTCCTCCGTGGTCTGACACTGTCACATTTTTCATCACGTGTTAATTTTCGTGACTCACACACACACACACACACACACACACACACACACACACCACCTACAAGAATAGATGGCAAGCACGACACCGTACCCCTAGCCTCTCAGGTAGCCTCACCTCCCAGGTCACCTCCCAGGTCACCTCCCAGGTCACCTCCCAGGTCACCTCCCAGGCCACCTCCCAGGTCACCTCCCAGGTCACCTCCCAGGCCACCTCTCAGGCCACCTCCCAGGTCACATCCTCCCCAACTCAACCCTCCTATACCTCCTTCTGCCCTATCCCCTCAAAACCCCCCTGCCCTGCCACATTTGCACTTCCCCAACAACTCCCCTGCCCCTGCTACATCACACCTGTCAACGACCCCAGTGGGTCAAGCCATCCCCCCCTAACTAATACACCCTCTCTTCCACTCCCAGCACCCATGCTCCATTCTCCTCTCAGCCCTCTGCCCTCAATATCCCTCTCCCCCCCCCAACCTCTCAACCTCTATTTGACTCTCAGCCTCACTCTATTTCTCAACCCCCCTATGCCATTCAGACCCCCCTAACTTTCAGACCCATTATGCCCTTCCTACCCCCCTAGATGCCCAGACCCCATTTGCCTACCAGGCACTCCCAGGCACCCCCAGGCACCCCCTAGCACCCCCCCCCACAGCCCCCACTCGCCCCCAGACACCCCCCCCCCCCCCGTCCCCCCCAGACCCCCGGTGAAAGGGGGAACTCTGGCACCAGAGTTTCCAAGAAGAGTCTCAAGGTTTGGTACACCAATGCTGATGGGGTATCCAATAAAGCAGAAGAGATAAAAGAAAGAGTTAGTGAGGCAGACCCAGACATAGTGGCAATAGTGGAAACTAAAATAAATGGCATGATCTCGGATGCAATCTTTCCAGAGGGGTACCAGGTGATAAGAAAAGAAAGGACACAGAGACAGGGAGGAGGAGTGGCACTCCTAATAAAGCGGAAATGGAAGTTTGATGAGCTGGAAAATCCGGGTACCAATGAAAGCACGAGCTTCATACATGGAACTCTGACAGTGGATGGGAAGAAGATTGTAATCTTGATACTCTACAATCCCCCACCAAACAGTAGAAGGCCCAGGCAGGAGTATGAGGACAGCAACAAGGCATGTATAGATGAACTGCAGAGGGCAGCAACTATAGCGCATAGAATGAGAGCGAAGCTGCTGGTCATGGGGGACCTAAATCACGGAGAGATAGATTGGGAAACGAGGAATCCCCATGGCGGGGAGGAGACCTGGGGAGCGAAGCTGGTAGACGTTATTGACAGGAATTTCCTAACACAGCATGTGAAGGAAGACACTAGGGAAAGAGGAGGGGATACGCCCAGCCTATTAGACCTCATTTTCACCCAGAATGTAGAAGACATCGAGCATTTGGAACATGAAATACCACTAGGAGCCAGTGACCATTGTGTCCTAGTCTTTGACTACATGATGGAGCTTAAAATTGTGACCAAAGGACAAGAGGTCCGGGAAAGGAGACTTGATTACAGAAAAGGGGACTACAGAAGGATAAGGGACTACCTGGGAGAAGTGCAGTGGGAGGAAGAAATTAGAGGAAAAACAGTGCAAGGTATGATGAACCAAGTCATATGGAAATGCAAGGAGGCTGAAGAGAGATTTATTCCAACAGTAAAGGAAAAAAGCAGGAGGGAATATAATAACCCATGGTTTAATAGACAGTGTCAGGAAGCAAAAGTGAGAAGCAGGAGGGAGTGGAGGAAGTACAGAAGACAAAGGACAGAGGACAACAGGATTAGATGTAACAGAGCTAGGAACGATTACATTAACATAAGACGAGTGTCGGAAAGAAATTATGAGAATGATATTGCAATCAAAGCGAAAAAGCAACCTAAATTACTACATAGCCATATAAGAAGGAAGATGTCGGTAAATGACCAAGTGACAAGACTGAGGAAAACAGAAGGGGCATATACAGAAAGCGACAAGGAAATCTGCGAGGTACTGAATGCAAGTTTCCATGGAGTGTTCACAACCGAGCCTGAGCAGCTCCCATTGTTAGAAGAGATTACCCTAGATGAAAGACTATCAGATATAGAGGTGACAGCAGAGGAGGTAATGAAACAGTTGACAACACTGGATGCAACTAAAGCGGTTGGACCAGACAAAGTATCACCGTGGATACTAAAAGAGGCAGCGCAGGCTCTCAGCGTGCCTCTGGCAATGATCTTTAATGAGTCACTTATGTCGGGAGAATTGCCCAGTTGCTGGAAGGAGGCAAATGTCGTACCGATTTTCAAGAAAGGTGATAGGGAGGAGGCACTTAACTACAGACCCGTATCACTGACAAGCATCCCCTGCAAAATACTTGAAAGAATAATTAGGCTAAGACTTGTTGAGCACCTGGAGAGCATTGGGTTTGTAAACAAGCACCAACATGGGTTCTGGACAGGGAAATCATGCCTAACAAACCTTTTAGAATTCTATGATAAAGTAACAAGGATAAGGCAGGACAGAGAAGGCTGGGCAGACTGCATATTTCTTGACTGCCAAAAGGCCTTTGATACAGTACCGCACATGAGACTGCTATACAAACTTGAGAGGCAGGCAGGAGTAAGCGGAAAGGCCCTAGCATGGGTGAGGAACTACCTAACAGGAAGGAGCCAGAGGGTAATGGTAAGGGGCGAGAAGTCGGACTGGCGAACAGTAACGAGTGGAGTACCTCAAGGATCGGTGCTGGGACCAATCCTCTTTCTAATTTACGTAAATGATATGTTTACAGGAGTGGAATCATACATGTCAATGTTTGCGGATGACGCAAAATTAATGAGAAGAGTTGTGACAGATGAGGATTGTAGGATCCTCCAAGAGGACTTAAACAGGTTGCAGAGATGGTCAGGGAAATGGCTACTGGAGTTCAACACCAGTAAATGTAAAGTTATGGAAATGGGATCAGGTGATAGGCGACCAAAGGGACAGTACACAATGAAGGGGAACTGCCTACCTGTAACGATTCGAGAAAGAGACCTGGGAGTGGATGTGACACCTAATCTAACTCCTGAGGCACATATAAATAGGATAACGACAGCAGCGTACTCTACACTGGCGAAAATTAGAACTTCATTCAGAAACCTAAGTGAGGAGGCTTTTAGGGCGCTTTACACTGCCTACGTGAGACCAGTCTTAGAGTATGCCGCGCCATCATGGAGCCCCCACCTGAAGAAACACATAAGGAAACTGGAGAAGGTTCAGAGGTTTGCGACGAGGCTTGTCCCAGAGTTACGAGGGATGGGATATGAAGAGCGTCTGAAGGAACTGAACCTTACGACACTAGAGAAAAGAAGGGAGAGAGGAGATATGATAGGGACATATAAAATACTCAGGGGAATTGACAAAGTGGAAATAGATGAAATGTTCACACGTAATAATAACAGAACGAGGGGACATGGGTGGAAACTGGAAACTCAGATGAGTCACAGAGATGTTAGGAAGTTTTCTTTTAGCGTGAGAGTAGTGGAAAAATGGAATGCACTTGGGGAACAGGTTGTGGAAGCAAACTCTATTCATAATTTTAAAATTAGGTATGATAGGGAAATGGGACAGGAGTCATTGCTGTAAACAACCGATGGCTGGAAAGGCGGGATCCAAGAGTCAATGCTCGATCCTGCAAGCACAAATAGGTGAGTACAAATAGGTGAGTACACACACACACATATAGGGGGCTGGTAGCCTGGTGGATAGCGCGCAGGACTCGTAATTCTGTGGCGCGGGTTCGATTCCCGCACCAGGCAGAAACAAAAGGGCAAAGTTTCTTTCACCCTGAATGCCCCTGTTACCTAGCAGTAAATAGGTACATGGGAATTAGTCAGCTGTCACGGGCTGCTTCCTGGGGTGTGTGTTTGTGTGGTGTGGAAAAAGATGTTGTTAGTAAACAGTTGAGAGGCGGGCCGAAAGAGCAAAGCTCAACCCCCGCAAACACAACTAGGTGGATACACACATGTATATATATATATATATATATATATATATATATATATATATATATATATATATATATATATATATATATATATTATTAAATATGACCGAAAAAGTAAGATTAATAATTCTAACACGAATTTTCTCGATCTTTCGTACGTTTCTTTTCACTGTTGGTGGTAATTCAAAAATCAATTCTCCAAAATTCATTTTTATTTCTAGTCTGACGCGACACTTGAGCGCGTTTTGTAAAACTTATTACATTTTCAAAGACTTTAGTTTACGCATACACAACTGAATAGAACTTACACATCTTCGATTTGTTTATATCTACATTTGAGTGAGGTGGATGGGGTGTGGTGGTATTAATAGGGTATTAAATTCCTAAACACAAGACAGAACACGAAACAATGGGTATTGAATGGAAGTGATTGTAGAAACCCTATTGGTCCATATTTCTTGATGCTTCTATATTGGAGCGGTGTCTTGAGGTGGGTAGAATATAGTTGTGCATTAATTGGCTGTTGATTGCTGGTGTTGACTTCTTGAAGTGTAGTGCCTCGCAGACGTCAAGCCACCTGCTATCGCTGTATCTATCGATGATTTCTGTGACGTTTACTAGGATTTCTCTGGCGATGGTTTGGTTGTGGGAAGAGATTATATGTTCCTTAATGGAGCCCTGTTGCTTATGCATCGTTAAACGCCTAGAAATAGATGTTGTTGTCTAGCCTATATACTGGGTTTTTTGGAGCTTACAGTCCCCAAGAGGGCATTTGAAGGCATAGACGACGTTGGTCTCTTTTAAAGCGTTCTGCTTTGTGTCTGGAGAGTTTCTCATGAGTAGGCTGGCCGTTTTTCTGGTTTTATAGTAAATCGTCAGTTGTATCCTCTGATTTTTGTCTGTAGGGATAACGTTTCTATTAACACTATCTTTCAGGACCCTTTCCTCCGTTTTATGAGCTGTGGAAAAGAAGTTCCTGTAAAATAGTCTAATAGGGGGTATAGGTGTTGTGTTAGTTGTCTTTTCAGAGGTTGCATGGCGTTTCACTCTCCTTCTTATGATGTCTTCGACGAAACCATTGGAGAAGCCGTTGTTGACTAGGACCTGCATTATCCTACAGAGTTCTTCGTCGACTTGCTTCCATTCTGAGCTGTGGCTGAGAGCACGGTCGACATAAGCGTTAACAACACTCCTCTTGTACCTGTCTGGGCAGTCGCTGTTGGCATTTAGGCACATTCCTATGTTCGTTTCCTTAGTGTAGACTGCAGTGTGGAAACCTCCGCTCTTTTCCATGACTGTTACATCTAGAAAGGGCAGCTTCCCATCCTTTTCCATCTCGTAAGTGAAACGCAGCACGGAACTCTGCTCAAATGCCTCCTTCAGCTCCTCAAAACTGCTGGGAGCTGAAGCTGAAGGAGGCATTTGAGCAGAGTTCCGTGCTGCGTTTCACTTACGAGATGGAAAAGGATGGGAAGCTGCCCTTTCTAGATGTAACAGTCATGGAAAAGAGCGGAGGTTGATTTGATAAAATGGGCATAGCATTTTATCAAATCACCTCATTCTTTGGGGCACACGTGAGGAACACAAATGCGAACAAGCCTGAATGGTTCGAACGGGAGCTACGAGGCCTCGCTACCAAAAGGCGGGAACTACAAGGCCTCGCTAGCAAGGAGCAAGAGCTACGAGGCCTCGCTAGCAAGGAGCAAGAGCTACGAGGCCTCGCTAGTAAGGAACGGGAGCTACGAGGCCTCGCTAGCAAGGAGCGGGATCTACGAGGCCTCGCTAGTAAGGAACGGGAGCTACGAGGCCTCGCTAGCAAGGAGCAAGAGCTACGAGGCCTCGCTAGCAAGGAGTGGGAGCTACGAGGCCTCGCTAGTAAGGAACGGGAGCTACGAGGCCTCGCTAGTAAGGAACGGGAGCTACGAGGCCTCGCTAGCAAGGAGCGGGAGCTACGAGGCCTCGCTAGTAAGGAACGGGAGCTACGAGGCCTCGCTAGTAAGGAACGGGAGCTACGAGGCCTCGCTAGCAAGGAGCGGGAGCTACGAGGCCTCGCTAGCAAGGAACGGGAGCTACGAGGCCTCGCTAGCAAGGAACGGGAGCTACGAGGCCTCGCTAGCAAGGAACGGGAGCTACGAGGCCTCGCTAGCAAGGAGCGGGAGCTACGAGGCCTCTCTAGCAAGGAGCAGCTGCTACGAGGCCTTGCTAGTAGCTATCAGCTGAGAGACGAGTGATACGAGAATTTGGAAGAAGTTGAAAAAAAGGGGAAAGAATTGGAGAGGGAAGAGGAGCAGACTGGGGGAAGAGGAAGGGATGAAAAAAGAAGGGGAAATTTAGTGGAAAAGGATGGGGAAGAGGGAGGGGGAGAAGTGGAAGTGGGAGGGGAGAAGTGGAAGACGGAGGGGAGAAGGGTGAAATGGGCAGATAAAAAATGGGATTGGAAGAAAGAATAGAGGGAAAAGAATAGGAAGGGGGAAGAGGGGAATGGGAGGTGGGGGGTGAGGTAGGAGGGGAATAGGAGGGAAGGGTGCAGAAGGTGTGGTAACACAGAAGTAATACAAAATGAGTAATATATCAAGAGGGACTTTTAAAATGAGTTGTATGTAAGGGAAAACTTGTACAATGAGGTGTATATAAGGGAAAACTTGTACAATGAGGTGTATATAAGGGAAAACTTGTACAATGAGGTGTATATAAGGGAAAACTTGTACAATGAGGTGTATATAAGGGAAAACTTGTACAATGATGTGTATATAAGGGCAAACTTGTACAATGAGGTGTATATAAGGGAAAACTTGTACAATGAGGTGTATATAAGGGAAAACTTGTACAATGAGGTGTATATAAGGGAAAACTTGTACAATGATGTGTATATAAGGGCAAACTTGTACAATGAGGTGTATATTATGGAAAACTTGTACAATGAGGTGTATATAAGGGAAAACTTGTACAATGAGGTGTATATAAGGGAAAACTTGTACAATGAGGTGTATATAAGGGAAAACTTGTACAATGAGGTGTATATAAGGGAAAACTTGTACAATGATGTGTATATAAGGGCAAACTTGTACAATGAGGTGTATATAAGGGAAAACTTGTACAATGAGGTGTATATAAGGGAAAACTTGTACAATGAGGTGTATATAAGGGAAAACTTGTACAATGAGGTGTATATAAGGGCAAACTTGTACAATGAGGTGTATATAAGGGAAAACTTGTACAATGAGGTGTATGTAAGGGAAAACTTGTACAATGAGGTGTATATAAGGGAAAACTTGTACAATGAGGTGTATATAAGGGAAAACTTGTACAATGAGGTGTATATTATGGAAAACTTGTACAATGAGGTGTATATAAGGGAAAACTTGTACAATGAGGTGTATATAAGGGAAAACTTGTACAATGAGGTGTATATAAGGGAAAACTTGTACAATGAGGTGTATATAAGGGAAAACTTGTACAATGAGGTGTATATCATGGAAAACTTGTACAATGAGGTGTATGTAAGGGAAAACTTGTACAATGAGGTGTATATTATGGAAAACTTGTACAATGATGTGTATATAAGGGAAAACTTGTACAATGAGGTGTATATAAGGGAAAACTTGTACAATGAGGTGTATATAAGGGAAAACTTGTACAATGATGTGTATATAAGGGAAAACTTGTACAATGAGGTGTATATAAGGGAAAACTTGTACAATGAGGTGTATATAAGGGAAAACTTGTACAATGAGGTGTATATTATGGAAAACTTGTACAATGAGGTGTATATAAGGGAAAACTTGTACAATGAGGTGTATATAAGGGAAAACTTGTACAATGAGGTGTATATAAGGGAAAACTTGTACAATGAGGTGTATATAAGGGAAAACTTGTACAATGAGGTGTATATAAGGGAAAACTTGTACAATGAGGTGTATATAAGGGAAAACTTGTACAATGAGGTGTATATATAAGGGAAAACTTGTACAATGAGGTGTATATAAGGGAAAACTTGTACAATGAGGTGTATATAAGGGAAAACTTGTACAATGAGGTGTATATAAGGGAAAACTTGTACAATGAGGTGTATATAAGGGAAAACTTGTACAATGAGGTGTATATAAGGGAAAACTTGTACAATGAGGTGTATATAAGGGAAAACTTGTACAATGAGGTGTATATAAGGGAAAACTTGTACAATGAGGTGTATATAAGGGAAAACTTGTACAATGAGGTGTATATAAGGGAAAACTTGTACAATGAGGTGTATATATAAGGGAAAACTTGTACAATGAGGTGTATATAAGGGAAAACTTGTACAATGAGGTGTATATTATGGAAAACTTGTACAATGAGGTGTATATAAGGGAAAACTTGTACAATGAGGTGTATATAAGGGAAAACTTGTACAATGAGGTGTATATAAGGGAAAACTTGTACAATGAGGTGTATATAAGGGAAAACTTGTACAATGAGGTGTATATAAGGGAAAACTTGTACAATGAGGTGTATATAAGGGAAAACTTGTACAATGAGGTGTATATATAAGGGAAAACTTGTACAATGAGGTGTATATCATGGAAAACTTGTACAATGAGGTGTATATAAGGGAAAACTTGTACAATGAGGTGTATATAAGAGAAAACTTGTACAATGAGGTGTATATCATGGGAAACTTGTACAATGAGGTGTATATCATGGAAAACGTGTACAATGAGGTGTATATCATGGAAAACTTGTACAATGAGGTGTATATCATATAAAACTTGTAAAATGAGTTGACTGTCAAGAGTTTTAAAATGAGTTATATAAAGTGTGGACTTGAAGTATTAGCGGCGCAAACCAGTACACGTCCAATAAAAACAGACTCAGACAAAAACGAAACAAAAAAACACAATAATTTGCTTGAAGGTCAGTTGAATGATTTTGACCCTCTGTTGCTGCGTTGCATATTTGGTCAGGTCGTGTCTGTGTTTTTGTTACGGCAGGATGATTGACCACCTCCTGATGGCTGGGTCTGAAGCCGTCTCACGCACAAAAAAAGGAAAATAGCAGAAGGCCAGTTGCTTGCTGTTAGGTAACCACCCAGACTCCTAATTTATATCTCAATATGGAATGTCTGTGTGCTGGTCTGCTTGTCTGTCTGTCCAAAGAAAAAAGGCCAGAGGCTATTGGCTAGCCTCCCTCAACTTTGCAAGATGACACATGTCGGGCATGTGAGCGTCACAGGTCAGTCGGGGGTCGGCCCAGGTAACACTGTTTACACAATAGCAGCATCAATATCAATTTTCACGCTCTGAAATGAAATCAAGTGTTGTGTTTTCCGTAGATTTTAGGCTTGCTCTCCCCATTTCCCGGGCGTTTGAATGGTTTACTAGAAGGCGCTTCAGGTACCTATCTTGGTCTTGGGGACACGAGAGGTACCTATCTTGGTTTTGGAGGAAATAGAGGCACCTGTCTTGGTCGTCGAGGCCCCTAGAGGCACCTATCTTGGTCTTGGAGGCACTAGATGCACCTATCTTAGTCATGGAAGCACTAGAGGTCCTTATCTTTGTCTTGGAGGCTCTAGAAGCACTTATCATGGTCTTGGAGGCACTACATGCACCTATCTTGATCTTGGAAGCACTAGAGGTCCTTTGTCATGAGGCACTAGAGGCACCTATCTTAGTCTTGAAGGCACTAGAGGTACCTCTCTTAGTCTTGGAGGCACCTAACTTGGTCTTGGAGGCATCTATCTTGGTCTTGGAGGCACCTATCTTGGTCTTGGAGGCATCTATCTTGGTCGTGAAGGCACTATAGGCACCTATTTTGGTCTTGGAGACACAGAGGTACGTATCTTGATCTTGGAGGTACCTAACTTGGTCTTGGAGGCACCTAACTTGGTCTTGGAGGCACCTAACTTGGTCTTGGAGGCACTAGAAGCACCTATCTTGGTCTTGGAGGCACTAGAGGCACCTATCTTCGTCTTGGAGGCACCTATCTTGGTCTTGGAGGTTCTAGAGGTACCTATCTTAGTCTTGGAGGAACTTGAGGCACCAATCTTGGTCTTGGAGGCCCTAGAGGCACCTGCCATGGTCTTGGACGCACTAGAGACATCTATCATGGTCTTGGAGGCACTAGAGGCACCTATCTTGGTCTTGGAGGCACTAGAGGCACCTATCTTGGTCTTGGAAGAACTAGAGACACCTATCCTGGTCTTGGAGGCACTAGAGGCACCTATCTTGGTCTTGGAGGCACTAGAGGCACCTATCTTTGTCTTGGAGGCTCTAGAGGCACATATCTTGGTCTTAGAGGAACTAGAGGAACCTATCTTTGTCTTGGAGGGACTAGAAGCACATATCATGGTCTTAGAGGCACTAGAGGCACCCTCTTGGTCTTGGAGGCCCTAGAGGCACCTATCTTGGTCTTGGAGGCACTAGATTCACCTATCCTGGTCTTGGAGGCCCTACAGGCACCTATCTTGGTTTTGGAGGCACTAGAGGCACGTATCGTGGCCTTGGAGGCACTAGAGGCACCTATCTTGGTCTTGGAGGGACTAGAAGCACCTATCTTGGTCTTGGAGGCCCTAGAGGCACCTATCTTGGTCTTGGAGACACTAGAGGCACCTATCTTGGTCTTGGAGGCCCTAGAGGCACCTATCTTGGTCTTGGAGGCACTAGAGGCACCTTTCCAGGTCTTGGAGGCACTAGAGGCACCTATCTTGGTCTTGGAGGGACTAGAAGCACCTATCTTGGTCTTGGAGGCCCTAGAGGCACCTATCTTGGTCTTGGAGGCACTAGAGGCACCTATCTTGGTCTTGGAGGCACTAGAGGCACCTATCCTGGTCTTGGAGGCACTAGAGGCACCTATCTTGGTCTTGGAGGGACTAGAAGCACCTATCTTGGTCTTGGAGGCCCTAGAGGCACCTAACTTGGTCTTGGAGACACTAGAGGCACCTATCTTGGTCTTGGAGGCCCTAGAGGCACCTATCTTGGTCTTTCTTGGAGGCACTAGAAGCACCTTTCCTGGTCTTGGAGGCACTAGAGGCACATATCTTGGACTTGGAGGCACTAGAGGCACCTATCTTGGTCTTGGAGGCACTAGAGGCACATATCTTGGACTTGGAGGAACTAGAGGAACCTATCTTGGTCTTAGAGGCACTAGAGGCACCTATCTTGCTCTTGGAGGCACTAGAGGCACTTATGTTGGTCTTGGAGGTGCTACAGCTTCATGCTTTGGTCTGCTTACGTTGCCTCGAAATATACGTTAAACTCGTATTTTTCAGTAAGGCGGGAGTCAGAGAGCAATAAGGTCGATTATAATGTCAAAGTGATGTGAACGCGAATGAAATTTTGTGTGTTATCTTCAATAGTGTGTTTAGTATGGTTCATGTCGTGTTGGGTACTCCTCCAGACGTGCGGAGGGGTCATGTTCACTACCCAGGTGAGTGGGTCATGTTCACTACCCTGGTGAGTGGGTCATGTTCACTCCCCTGGTGAGTGGGTCATGTTCACTACCCTGGTGAGTGAGTCATGTTCACTACCCAGGTGAGTGGGTCATGTTCACTACCCTGGTGAGTGGGTCATGTTCACTACCCTGGTGAGTGGGTCATGTTCACTACCCTGGTGAGTGGGTCATGTTCACTACCCTGGTGAGTGGGTCATGTTCACTACCCTGGTGAGTGAGTCATGTTCACTACCCTGGTGAGTGGGTCATGTTCACTACCCTGGTGAGTGAGTCATGTTCACTACCCTGGTGAGTGAGTCATGTTCACTACCCAGGTGAGTGGGTCATGTTCACTACCCAGGTGAGTGAGTCATGTTCACTACCCTGGTGAGTGAGTCATGTTCACTACCCTGGTGAGTGGGTCATGTTCACTACCCTGGTGAGTGAGTCATGTTCACTACCCTGGTGAGTGAGAGATATTTACTACCCCGGTGAGTGAGTCAAATTCACTACCCATGGGAGTGGGTCATATTCACTACCCATGGGAGTGGGTCATATTCACTACCCATGGGAGTGGGTCATATTCACTACCCATGGGAGTGGGTCATATTCACTACCCATGGAAGTGGGTCATATTCACTATACCCATGGGAGTGGGTCATATTCACTACCCATGGGAGTGGGTCATATTCACTACCCATGGGAGTGGGTCATATTCACTACCCATGGGAGTGGGTCATATTCACTACCCATGGGAGTGGGTCATATTCACTACCCATGGGAGTGGGTCATATTCACTACCCATGGGAGTGGGTCATATTCACTACCCATGGGAGTGGGTCATATTCACTACCCCGGTGAGTGAGTCAAATTCACTACCCATGGGAGTGGGTCATATTCACTACCCATGGGAGTGGGTCATATTCACTACCCATGGGAGTGGGTCATATTCACTACCCCGGTGAGTGAGTCAAATTCACTACCCTGGTGAGTGAGTCAAATTCACTACCCATGGGAGTGGGTCATATTCACTACCCAGGCAAGTGAGACATATTCGCTTCCCCAGCAAGGGTACTGGTGCTTGCTAGCTCCCAGCTGCTCCAGGGAAGTCATTCTTGACTTACACAAACACACTGGGATTCCACAAAAACACTTGGACTCCACAAACACACTTGAACTCCAATAACAGCTCAAGAGAGCCACGAGGCAGAGTACCTTACAAATTAGTCTAATTATCCTTCACACACCTGTAATTCTCGGGTACAGAGATCCTGTAACGTCAAGTATGACTCACTATCCATGTGCTGAATTTAATGTTTGGTTTCAAAGACACTATGCTTTTCTGTGTTTAGTTTATTCCATAAATTCCTTTACCCTATTTTGTGAGCACCTATTTCGCCCTATTTCACCCGTGTGAAGTGAAGCCTTTTAGGCCATTCTTCTCCCATTTGAAGGTGCTGGGGACATATGGCAACCTCTTGTTAAGACTTGACTGTGACAAACAGTGACAAATAAAATTTGTCATTGTTTGCGAGATGCGAGTTCGTAA